CTCAAGTTCGTATGTTATTACCGACAAAGACAAGCGAGACTGGAATGACCATTTATGGCCTATTAGCCGTCGTCAGCCGGTCATACTCAATCCCGGGGTGGGGAACACCCGGGGCTCGAACTCGCGACCTATTTGTTAGAAATCCAACGCCTCTAACCACTGAGCCACGGGCTCGTTGTCCCGTCGGTTTAGATCAGGCAATAACATACTGTCTATAGCATGCGCCGCTGTGCGACTACTGGGTGGGCTCGAGAGAGAACCCGTAGGGCACAACGAAACGGGTGAATTCCTTAAGAACGATCGGTGAGCGCCCCCCCTACCATTGTATATTCCCGATCGCAACCGACAAGACAACGGGCCCGTGGCTCAGTGGTTAGAGGCATTTGACTGATGGCTAACAGGTCGCCAGTTCGAGCCTCGGGTGTTCCACACTTCGGGGTTGGGTATGACTGACTGACGACGGCTAATAAGTCAGAAATGGCCATTCCAGTCTCCCTTGTCTTTGTCGGTTATAACATACCGCATATATCATGCGCCGCTGTGCGGCTGCTGGTTGGACTCGAGAGAGAGCCCGTAAGGCACAACGGAACGAGTGAGTTCCGTAAGAACGATCGGTGAGCGCTCCCTACCGTCTCAAGTTCGCCCACTTTGGATCGATGTCATTGACAGATTGACAGACCGACGAGTCTTAATGGCAGCCAAGAGTGTTTTTGCCAAACTGGATGGAAACTATTTCGTGGTTATTAAGGGACGGGGTTTCTTCCCCTGGATTTAAGGTGCTGTGAGGTAAAACAACTTACAGTTTTGGAGATTTTCCTGTCCCAGAGTTACACAGGTCCGTACTCGTCCCCTTGGGTTTCCGGACTCGAGCTAGAGCCTCTAAAGCAATCGCAACTGACAGGACAGCGAACCCGTGGCTCAGTTGGTAATGTGCTGGACTTAACGCTCAATGACTAAAGAACGTGGAATCGAGACTCGGGGGCTGTGATCTGGGTTTGAGTAACGCTGGCTGAAGACGGCTCATAAGTCAGAAGTGGCCACCCCAGCCTCATGTGTCTTCTTCCACAATCTTCTTTTGTCATGTATGCAGGAAGAACTGTCGATGGAGGCAAAGGAGACTGAGGTGGCCATGTCTGACCTTTAAGCCATCGTCAGTCAGCCATGCACAATCCCAAGTTCTGACAACCTGGGATTGGAGCTCCGATACATTGGTCATTGAGCCCCAGCAGGTTGTCGCATCACGACCAGTTATGATGGTAAAGCCCAATGATCACGGAAACTCAGTTCGAACCTCAGGTCGTCTAGATCCGTGGTTAAGTATGGTTAACTGATGAGGACTAATAAGTTAAGAGTGATCACCCGAGTTTCCCCTGTCTTGTTCGGCACTCCTCATCAGCATATATATAGATCCGCACAGGAATTTACGCACACCGGTCCATATAAATGCATATATGCATATAACTGTTTGCCCTCCGGGTGGGTTTTCGAGTTGGAATCTTCTTTATAATTGTACCAAACGTGCCCACCTGCCTCGTGTGGTCATTTAGCATTAGTTGGGTTTACAAATTCTTATACCCCTGACCGGTGTCAGTACGAAAAATTTCGCTTTTCGTTTGAGAATCTTGGGAAATTTCTTTGACACGATACTACTGCCAGAGGTTTAATTCTCCGCCAATTCTCGGGAACCCATAGTAGATAGACTGTTTGGGAAATTTAAAATTTACATTCGACCGTCTTTAGCTGCTTTAACTTGCATGCTTCTCGAGTTTCCGCTTGACCTCTACTACTTACTTTTTTCTTCTTTTTCAGTGTAATCCACACCATATTGACAACTACAATTTGTGATTTGGTAATACATTTTGATCAGACTTTTTCCAAGAAACAAAATTGTCATTTTTTCTTAAATGACTCATCTGAAAAATAAAGTCGATTGAACCAATCATCTGGTGTTGCAACCTATCGTGGATCGGAGGATTCTTCCCAATTTCAAGACCATTAAGAACTTCTGGGATTTCCTGGGGCGAGTCAAGGCAGCGGCAATCGAATCACGGAAGTCGGGATATGAATAGTGGGCATTTGAAAAAAACTGTTTCCTCAGTTATGGCAACGCTTGAGAAAATGTTTTTAAAACAAACGAGGAGACCAAAAAAGTACTGGCAGGACGCGGAGGCCGTTGTGATGTGTCAATCCTACAAAGAGGCCACCTAACACCGCCCGCAACCTTTCAATTAGAAACCGATAGGATTATCGATAAAGACGAAAACGACTACTTGCAACCATCAGTAAACCACAACAGAACCCCATGCAGGAGGTTCAAGGCAAAACAGAGTGAATATGTTTTCTCCTGCAACTGGGTCTGCAAAACGTTATTTCCTTGGGACTCTTACTATTTCCGTTCAAGATCGATAAGAAATGAGCGTGTAGAGCATTTTATTCGCGTTTTGGTTGACTAACTGAACCTTCCTAGACAGTTGATGACTGTTGATAGACAGCAAGTCAGGAAGGGCCATTCCAGCCCTAATGGTTCTTGTCGCAATGCTAGCAGTACCACAGCCAGAAACTAGTTTGACTGAACACCAGATTGTGAAAAACTGAGCTTTCATGGTAGGATCCAAACCCACCACAGCAAGGGCGAGGCTTCAGTATAGTCAGCCCCCTAGGCACCTAAGCCACGAGGTCCGATCGAAAGTCCTGATTTTATCCACAACTGGGTTACATTGTCCTCACAATCTAGAGTAACGTGCGGAGTCCACAAATTCTGACACAGTTGGCTGATTGTCCAAATCCGTTTTCCTAATTAATCAACTTAGAATCCACGAGACGATTAGTAGGATTATTTCCAGTGACCGTAAAAAAACTGGAATTTGGTGTTTTCTCTCAAGAACTGTTGGGGCGCTCTCTTGTTACCTGCTTTTACAGGCAAGTGAACTTTTCTTGTGCCCGCATGATCGGAAGACAGCCTGCACCTTGCAGACTGTGTTCCACTGCTTCTGCTCTGGCATCAGTTTTACGTGCATTCCTGCCTTCCAGTGTATGGGCGCGTGTGTGTTTCTCTGACCTCTGACCCCATAAACAGCGCTTCGTAGTGTGCATGTTTCACTTTCGCCGGTTCGGCGGGTAGGTGCACTTGGTGTGGGAGCCGGTGATTTTATTACGAGAACACACCGACCCTTTCTCTCAGTTTGTGTGTGTGTGTGTGTGTGTGTGTGTGTGTGTGTGAAGTTCGATTTCTCGGCTAAAGTGACCCCCCCAGACATCGGGGGCTGGAGAAGCCGTGGTCAGTGAGTTAATTCGGAGGGGCGGGGGGAGAAGCTGGGGTGAAACCTGATGCTCTCTCTACCAGCATTTGCGGGAGGATTTGCAAACTCGAAAGTCGTGCGCTGATCGCAGTCACCAACACTTATGCCTTCTGATCTATGGGAGCAGATGCTAGTCTTCAGAAACAGTTTTAAAGTCAACAAGCCGACTATTTTAATTTTGTTTGAAGAGCCACAAACCAGTTGGGTGGTCATCTTTAGGGTCGTAAACATTTTGATTGTCTAGAGACAACGGCATATATGAAGCAAGTACTGAACTCCAACGCCAACAACCAGTGTCTGTGTGAAAACGCCCTAACAGCTGGCATACTCAGTCACATCACGGCCAACAGGTGAGCAAGGTTGCCGAATCAGCATAATTTTGACGGATCTTTGACTCAAACGACGGTTGGGTCAGGTTGGTCAAAACTGACACATGCGAAAATGAAACTCGCTTAAGAGCTTCCACAAGTAACTGGCGTTTAGGAAATCGCCAACCACCTGTTCTTGCACTACTCGCAGTCAACATTGCACGTATATGCCAGAGACAGATCCAACATCGGGTTAGACAGGGACAAAGCAGTTGCGTCGGAGAAACCGAGCTCGCACCCCCGAGATTGGATGTTTGAGCGATGCGCCCAACATGACCGCAACACATCTTCAAGTTTGACGAGATCAAAACCGCTATGGAGGCTTTCTGCGCGAGCCACAAACTGCCTGAACTGTGGGTTCTGGCCTCGGAAGCGATCATCTGACACAACGAATTCCCCTTGCTCAAGACGCCTGGGGAGGGCAACAGCCTGAAGTAACAACAGACAGACAGACTTGGCGCGAACGAGGCCACTGGGCCATCGAGCATGCAATGCCACAAAAGCAGTACCCTATGCTCGTCATAGTTATCTCTGCGTCTAGGTTACTAATTCTGGTTATTGGTTCCAATTCCAGCACGAGAGACCAGGTTCCCTTTGTCGCTTACCAAAGATATTTAGATTCTGCCTCATCCACTCGGATTATAAGTATACTTATGAATATCTAACCAGAGGTTAGAGTTTAGTACTCCGCCGACTACGTTGCGTTGATGAATGGACAAGATGCAGCGAGCCTAATGGGAACCCAGTTCTCTTTTGGCACAATTTCCGGATAAATTGTAATAACCATCAGTGAACTCCACTTCCTGCATTACGGTGCAACTTCCAAAATCCTTCGCATAAACAAATTAAATGACGGTCGTCGTACGTGTCCCTTTTCGGCCTTCCCTTGGGGATCGTCGAAGAACTCGGCACCACAGAGAGAGAGAGGGAGAGCTAGGAATCCCTCCCCCAAAATAAGGCATATATACGTGTTAGAGTTATTTTTACAGGGTTTTGATTGTCGTCAAATAGCAAATAGAGGGAAAATCTTGTAAATAATAGAAAATCATGTAAGAAATAGAAGTCCATAGGGTCAAAACTGATGCTGGTCAGGGGTTTGGTGGTCGAGAAATGGAAAAGTCGAGAGGTTCATTCAGGCGTAGTATTGGCCGCTTCAAGGCCATCACGGCCTGTCTGCCACTGGTCAACCTAGCTTAGTCAGCATGCCGGTGTGACTAAAGTCGTTTGACAGGCAGTATTGCCTTGCGCAGGGTGGGGGCAGCAAGTGGGTGGAGGGCGGGGAAAATGAGATCACATTTTGAACAGGGACCAGGAGACGGGGGAGGCTGGCAGATCAAAGACACGTCTCCACCTTCTTCAGAACCAGACACTTGCGACATTCCACTCTGCAACACCAGACAAACTTGCAATCACAGTTTTCCAGACTGTAGTAGTGTTGGGTACGGAATCCGCGACCACAACAGAGCGAGCGGCAGTTCTGCGGTCCTGCGACGCTGGAGTTGCATTCCCGGTCAAGTGTTCCAGTCAGATGGAGGTGCGGATCGGCGTTGCAGAAGAGGTCTTCGGGTGGACGCTCGAAATAGACCAACTCCTGCGTAGTGGGCCGGAGATCTCGGGGACTACGGGGGAAAACATGTGACGAGGAGGACGAAGAGGTGTGTTTGACTTTGATGAGTGATGGTTGTGGATAACGCTGTCGATGTGGCTGTGGGTTCCAGTAGAGCGGGGAGTTCGGGCCGACCTCTCGCAGTCTCCGTGGGTTCCACCGGTTCAGCTGTATCACTGTTCCAGTGTCAGGCTGCCGGGAATTCTGACCCCAGCTATCCGGAATGGTGTTGTCTAGAAGGAAGTGTTAAAGATTCAATTACCAGTTAGTTATTTCTCGCCTATATTAAGCACTACCACGCCAATCGAGTTTTATTCAAGAGGTTTCACAACCAACCCTGACACCGATAGGTTGTCAGTTAACGACCACGCTTCCGGATTCTGTATTTGCTGAGTAATATTTTAGAGACGAGACTTTGGACTCTTGGTAGGAAACGCTCTCAAAATTGGCCGTCCTAGGCAAGGGTGTCTAACAAACCCTTCGTATGCGAGCCGGCATGATCGTTCGGATCAGGAGAATATCCTGTTGCCATCGCTCAGGTTGTTGTCTAGGTCATAAAATGGTCTTTCTTGATGTCGTGCGCATACGGCATCCACTAGGACGTCCTGACGTCTGGACATAATAAGCACTTTCAGTTACTATCAGGAGACTCCAACTGAGAGACATCGCTGACGCTCGCGTAATGCCGAGCAACCATTAGACGGGAGGGAGGCCAAAACGGCAATTTCTAGTCTTCCTGTCGCCACCAGCTAGCCATAGTAAAAGTTGGGGTGGATAAGGCTCACACGAGCTTCTTTGTCGGTAAACTCCGAAGTAAACGCCGTACTACTGACTTCCTCTCAACTTGGCGGGCGATATCCTGGTTCAGGCATGCAAAATGTTGGCCATGTCGGCATGTCGGTTTGGCTAAAAATTCCTGCCTCATAATGGAGGGACGGTTCGTCCTCCACAAACGACAACGTCCGCGGTGTGTTTCACGAAGTAGACGCAGCACCGCTGACTTGCGCGTGAATAACGAGTCACATGGTAAAGGGGGACGCCCGCCGATCATTCTTACGGAACTCAATCGTCCCGTTGTGCCTTACGGGCTCTCTCTCGAGTCCAACCAGCAGCCGCACAGCGGCGCATGATATATGCAGTATGTTATTACCGACAAAGACAAGGGAGACTGGAATGGCCATTTCTGGCTTATTAGCCGTCGTCAGCCAGTCATACCTAACCCCGAAGTGTGGAACACCCGAGGCTCGAACTGGCGACCTGTTAGCTATCAGTCCAACGCCTCTAACCACTGAGCCACGGGCCCGTTGTCCTGCCGGTTTCGATCAGGAATATGAAATGCTAGGGGGCGCTCACCAATCGTTCTTACGGAACTCACTCGTTCCGTTGTGCCTTACGGGCTCTCTCTTCTAACTAACAGGTCGCGAGTTCGAGCCCCAGGTGTTCCACACTTCGGGGTTGGGTATGACTGGCTGACGACAGCCAATAAGCCAGGAATGGTCATTCCAGTCTCCCTTGTCTTTGTCGGTAATAGTATACAACGAGGCACATTTTCGTTCCATCTACCGTACTCTCTCCTCCTCACCCATCTTTTTTCGATGGCAGAACAATTTAAAGTCGATCAGAGGCGGGTGCAATCGTAGTGGTTGGCACAGCTAAACAGTCCGTTTACGCTTGCCACACACGACCTAATCCCCAAAGCATGTACCGGTCTCTCGTATGGACAGTTCGGAAATAGAGAAGCGGAGATCTGCGAGGGTCTTTTATCGCTCTTTCTTCCCCTCGTTGTCCTAACCAGTCATTTTGTCCAACGTAAGCGTATGTGTGCATGAGATACGGAATTCTAGATTGAAGCGTAGACTAAAACTTCCAATTACTTCGCTTCCATCAGCTCAAACCATGCAAACTCAGGATCGGTACCTTGTTTAATTAGGCAGACGAATGAATGCCACCAAGAAAGCCCTAACACGGCTATTTTAGCCGTATTTTTACCAGCGAGCATTTACATTTTGCTTTGCGACTGTTGATACAGCGAGACAGCATAAACTACCAGATTGTACTCGCAATTTCGACCGGCAGATACTTCGTTCGAGCCGTTTTAATCTGTCAGCTGCTATTGACTCTTAGGAGGCTGGTCTTGGAGCCATTTCTCCATCATTTACTTCCGCAAAACTGACTTCCTCAGGAGCCTTAAACCACAAAAACGTTCCGACAACCTTCTTTCGGCTGCGCAACCTTGCATCCGTCAGTTTCTGTCACACAGACACACGGGGAGGACACCTATACTCACCTCGAATGACCTGCGAGGCCTCCTGGTACATCAGCTTGAGTTTGTTGCCAATGGTTCGCATTGTTGGCGTCTGTCTGTAGCAGGTCTTCATGGTACATGATCCGCTGGTCCCGTGGCAACGACAGTACCTCTGCATATTCTGCGAAACAACCTATATGGGAGTCAAGGAAATAAAGAACATGGTCCTGTTTAGGTATACTGTTATTGTGCTTTAATTTCCTCAGAAATTAACTGGCAGCTTTTAGTAGATCAGTTTGAACTAAGGTCTACAGGCGTAGGTCGAAATTTGATGCATATGCGTGGATGCTGACATGATTGGCATCATATGTATTCGGCTTATTGCTGAACTTGACGACGAGAACAAAATCATAACTGGGTGCTCAGTCAAGCTCGTAATTATTCATGAAGTTCGATCCAAGGGAGTCCCCAGTACAAATGCGTTGAGTAAGTCCTATTCTGCAAGTTGTTCTGACAACTGAAAGTCATTTTTCCGCGATTCTCAGGTCAGGCGGACTAAGGCGTCAGAACGATCTGTTCTGACTGTGTAACGGATGTCTTCATCCACCCTTTTCCAGATACAGACAGTCCCTTTTTGGGCTTGAGAGCGAAACGGTGGTGAGAGTCATCTATATATAATAATTTATAAACATACATGCCTATATTGTTATATGGCTACTAATATGAGTCGATATAACGTCAAGTGAGAATGGCGTTCAGTGATACCTCCCAACTGGAGAACAGAAATGACACTTTCGTTTCGCCCTGGAACTTTCGGCATGGAGTCTAAGCAGGCGGACGCCTAACAAATGACGACTAATAATCGGAAATTATTTTCGATAAAGACCGGGTACATTGGAACGGCATTTCTCCTCTGCTTGACAGAGTCGACCAGTAATACCTCCACTCCCCGTCAGACAGACCTAGGATTTGAGCCCGGACCCGCTAATTAACCGCAAAATCCAACAAAGTCATCTTCGCCCTGGTAAACCGCATCTCAAGTATTCCTAAAGTAAACGCTTTTACGCACAAGTCTGTGTGTAAATTTTTGAAATTTTGGCAAGTATCAAAAAGTCAGTTAGTGCTCATAAGATTTTCAACCTGAACATTGTGTAAAACGGTTTTTTAAATTTTACATGCAGATTCTATTCCATTCATTCACTTGTTTGCGTGGCGATGCACTGAACATTTAAATTAATGTGTTGAACATTAATTTCCATGTTTGGTCTTTCCACTAATCTCGAAAAACATTATTTTTATGCAAGTTAACATTACTTTCAGCATTATTTGCGCTTCCCCTTTACTTAAAGTGATTTTGTCGCAACTTGGCGCTTTGGATGATCTGTTTGGCTCAGATTTCGAGTCACTGATGCTTTGTAATGAATGACCGCATTCCGGGTCGGTTCTGCCGCATGCGCAAGACCGAAAAGGCCGGAAATCCGAAAGGACAGTCACTTACCCGACGTCCAACTCGATAGTTGTGCAGATTCATGAGGAAACGAATGTGGAAACCGTTCTCCATTTGGTCTAGCAGGTTGCGAGTGAATCGACGACCGTAGTGAATATTGTGGTCACAACCCTCCCACTGCCAACCAGCTTCGGTCTCCTTCCGACCACGGTTATTGCAGGGACAGTTGCGAATATTGTTCAAACAGGCCTCTGCTACACCTCTCACGAGACCTGCACTGATGAGGGAGTAGACAAAAGCCGTCTCCGGAATGCCTGCGCAATGTGGAGGACAAAAAAGGACAGTGTTTAAAAACATGTCTGTTTGCACTTTATGCACACGGGAAAACTGCATAGGCGTTGGACGCAAAGGAATGTCCGCCAGAATGTCTAAATGTACTCTTAATAGCGAAGAAAAAAACAACCAGAGAGGAGTTCCACCCTAGGCTGTTTTCGAACACTAGCCGCCAAGTATAAAATGAGACTAGCCTATCAGCAGAGACTTTTCCAGACACAAATTATCTTTCGAGACAGGCAAGTGAGCTGTAAATCATTTGTAGAAATAATTGCCAGAAGTCGTCGCATGTGACACCGTCTCAAAAAGTCTGTGCAAAAAAAGAAATGTATGAACCATTCAAAGCTTGGAATTTGGAGGATTTTGAAGTGTATGATTAAAAACTCCAGTATTGTAATACCCGTGAATTCTCTGACACTTCAGAACTGCAGTATTTCATACATTATAATGTTTTTTGGTAAAAAATATGGGACAGTCGGACGACTGTATCTGATTTACTGGCTTCTTTCCATCGGCCCCTTTAGTGGCACAAGGGACCATAAACACGTGTGCACACATACACGACAGTTCGACCGTCGCATCTGACGATGTCCGTCGTGTGCTCCACAGCAGGGTGAAGCAGGGACGGTGACTTGCGCGTGAACTAGTTTATAGTGATAGGAGGCTTGCGCAGCATTTACCGCACTCTCTCCTCCTTCCCCAACTTGGTCCGGTGTTATGACAGAGTCGAGAAGACTGGAGGCGGGGGAGGGCGCAAGTGGGTGGCATGGTCGAGCCCGCAAGTTGGCGCTCCACTCCCTGTCCCCTGGTTCACACAGCAACTGACCAGGAGTTTAGCAAAACAACAACAATGGGGAGGGCCGCAGGGGTCCTAGTGTGCGCGATGTCTGCCGGCAACTGGATCTGCAACCGCACCCCGAGATAATGGCATTTGTTATGATGCGCATTCTGATAACGCCTGCCAGAATCCGATATGGCCCCCGTATTGGTCCAGAGCATCTACCATGTGGCCCGTTTGGGGGGCCATTGTGCACACATGCATACACACACATGACAGTTCAACCGTCGGGTTCAACGACATCCGCCGTGTGCTCCACAACAAGATGCTGCAGACACGGTGGCTTGCGCGTGAATTAGTTTAAAGTGATAGCAGACTTGCGCAGCATCTACTGCACTCTCTCTCTCTTCCCATTCACCACCTGGACCCGGTGGGAGGACGCAGGTAAAAACGCACACACACCTTTCATTAGCACGTTTCCAAAGAGAGCGTTGTTGTCCGTCTCAGCAGCCTGGCTGCAGTTCCAACGCTCGTTGCGGAACTGGTAGCGACACTCCGCAACTGCAGCTCGCACACTGGTCACCGCAGCCTCTAGGAGCTCCAGGTTCACCTCGGGCTCAGTACTGGGCGATTCGGAGTCGTAGTATCCGTCGCTGGGGGTTTTGTGCAAAAATTCTTTCCATTGCCGCGGAGACAACAAGTCGCGGTAAGTAGACAGTAGGGAGCGAAGTTTCTGTGCGGCCCAGAGTTGGTTGAAGATGGGCAGGTTCTAAAAATCGAGGGCGGTGAGGAGGAGAGGATGGTGGTGGTAAGAATCTGTACAACGGGGGCTCTAAGGTTATTTGGAAGAATTCTTACGGTTTTCTGTTTTTAAAATGGGGTTGTGATTATAAAAAATAGAAGAACCTCTTCTATTTTTCATCATATCAACTCGGAATGCATACCATCTCTGATTTACACACACATATATATATATGAGCAGCTAGCTAAGGATAGGGTGTCCACCAGGATAAGAAGGATTGGAATGACGATTTAGGGCCTATTAGCCGTTGATAGACAGACATACTCAACCCCAGAATTCCAGCCCGTACTCTTTGTTTATTGGTGTGAGGTTTAGCTCTCTATCCTCGAGCCAGTGGATGTGAGGTCAAAACACAATAGCAAAACGGTGAATGCCGTCACCATGCTTCGAAATAGTCAAAGTTTTGCTAACTTCGGCGTCAACCATGCCCTCTTCTTATGCTCAACATGCATTTTAAAGTTATTCTCCTTACACGTCCGCCGTCGGCCTTATCCCGCAAAGACATTTCCACCTCGAAAATGCGTACCTTCTGCACATGCAAACTCGTAATGTGTATGCACATATAAACACAACTTCTGATATACTAACGCACCCTTTGCCACGCACAGACAGACACACAGGCCAAAAGCTAACTCTGCTGTGCAGGAAAGCCTAAAAGGACCCGGAGTCTCAGGGGGCAGTCATCCGAGGACGTAGGGGCGCATTCGAATGATCACAGAGTTTGCATTGTCGGCGGCATCAAAGTCGAGGGTTTTCTGTGGAAAAATTTGCATCCAGTCACGTTATAAAAATGGGCCCTTTTCTTTGTCCGTCCGGTCCACTGGGGGCAGTGCATATCTACCTGCGCGTTTGATCGGCGCCTCCCAGAGCGTTGTGACTGCGCGACTATTTAGTTCTTCAACGCGCGTCTGCACAGCGCCTTTGATGTTTTATCCCGCGGGCGCGCACGTTAACGCCTGGGGCGCATGTGAAGCCTTCTGTGCGCTCACACTCCCACTGCTCCGAGGTCATGTCATCCCCCGCCCTCCTCCAACACCGCAATACTGTCCCGATATTCACGTAAACCTGGGAGTGTAATGGAATGAGTAAAATGACTTTCGTGCATCTGCTGTTTTTCGAGCTGTTCGTGCGAACTTTGCGTTACTGCCTATCCGCATTCCTTCCCATCCCCTCCCCCCCGTTTCATTTCGGGAGGCGTCTCTGCGCGAAGAGGACAGAATACTCAGTGGTCATAGAGTCGGGATTCGAATCCCAGCTCGTCCAGCTGACATCAGCTAATGGGTCAGAAATTCCGCTCCCAGCCCCCCCTCTTGTCTTTTTAAGTATTCATTCTCTGCACAAAGATTAGTCGCAGCACTACCGCCCGTGAGGGCATTAAATTGAGCTCCAAGACTCAACATGACGTGCATGCCTCGCAACCGGACGGATGAACGACCTATCTATATGTATATGTGGGAGGGAGTATCAATAAAGACAAGGGGGACTGAGATGGCCACTGCCGGTTTGTTAATCGTCATTAGACGGCCCTACCCAACCCCACCGTTGGATTCGAACCTGGATTTTTCGGTCATTGAATGCTAGGTCCAACGGTGTGCAGTTGCTTTTCGGATCCACTGTCCTGTCGGTTGTGATCGGGGATACTAATTATAGTGGAAAGGGGTTCGCAAATCAGGCTACGGTATATGCTCGTCCCGTTGTGCCTTGAAACTTAGTGTAGAGCCCTTGTTGACGGTCGCACAGCAAATAGTAATATACATATATACATGCTTTTCGGCGTAACCCCATCACTTGCAACCTCCTTTGCTAGTCTAACTCGGCAGAGTTCGGCCCGACGGGTAGCTGTCGGTTCGTAGTCTTCGTCACGCATTCGGAGCTCTCTTGCTTCCGGAGGCCAGGAATCGGCGTGTGCCGACTTCTGTATGCGGAAGAGCCTGCCAGCTGGCAAAGCACTGATAAACCTCCTAGACCGTCTGTGGACCATATAGGGGCGGATGTCTGTGTTTCTTATCCCAGATAGTGACTGGGTTGAGTAAAGGCAGGATAGCAACGAAACAGTGCTGTCTCAGTCTACCCCCATTCATTCTGGCCACGCATCTGCCATCGTGGCTTGGTCGGGTCCGTCCTGTCGGATACTTGCCTGCTCGTCACATGGAAGTTCGGACTTTCAAAGCCTGACACTTATCGCGCCTCTTATAAAACAAACAGGCAATTCTAAGCTTCCCACCGTAACCCAAGTAGAAGTTTGGACTGTAAGTATGACTTCGGTCGGAAACAGTGGCAAATTAAGGCCTTACGGGGTCTCAGGCGTCTGATTATTATGGCTAGTATCAGTAGTGCTACGGTTACGCCCCTTGTTTTAAAACAGGCCAACTGAACTGATAACAGGCAGCATGTTATTACCGACAAAGACAAGGGAGACTGGCATGGTCAGTTCTGGCTTATTAGTCGTCGTCAGCCAGTCATACTCAACCATACGTCCAGTGGGTAAAGGCACGGACTTCTAACCAACAAGTCGCGAGTTCGAGCCTCGTCTGTTTCACACCTCGGGATTGGGTATGGCAGGCTGACGACGGCTAATAAGCCAGAAATGGCCATCCCAGTCTCCCTTGTTTGTGTAGGTAATTCTATTCTGCCTATATCATGCGCCGCTGTGCGGCTGATGGTTGGGTTCGAGAGAGAGAGCCCGTAAGGCACAACGGAACAAGTGAATTCCGTATGAACGATCGGTGAGCGTCCCCTACCATTGAACTGATAATTTACGACCGGGTGTTGAAAGGCCCTGCTTCCTCCGTTAACCACAAATTCTTTAAAAAAGTCATGACAATTCGATCGTATGGGAGGGAGGAAGGGAGATGGAACTTACATGAGAGGCGTCACCAGCGAGGGAGGGCTTGGGAAACCGCGGTGTTGATATCTCAGCGTCAGTGAGCTTGGAAAGTGGGATTGAAATTTGTCGGACATATTTCGTCAGCTGCAGTGGATGACTGTAGAGCAGTTTCAACAAGGAGTCCAGCCTACAAGGAGGACGAGATGAAAGAATAAATGAAGACAGACATTACAAGCTCTAAATGCTGCACAATATAGCACCTTTATGTTCCAGCCGAGAACATTTGCATCTGACCAATGAGATATGCCGCAATTTGTAACCAAATTTTTAGTGGATAACTGTTCCGATTTGAGAGAGGCCTTAAATAACTGAATCGGTGCGCGTAAAACCTGATACTAATAGTACCAGATGATCGAACCTAAATAAACGCATATGAGGTCTTTGCCATCCATTTGTACACAAGTCAGCAAAGTGAATTAGGAAATTCAACGTTCATAACAGAAAATTATCTATGGCAGTTTATAAGCCAAAACGCCCCTAGCAGTTTACCGAATAGCTGGTTAAATGGCCACAGGAAGGGATATTTTTGCGAAATGCTTGGGCTTATAAGGATGCCTAAAATCACTGGCTAAAGTGCATTCGACTCAAGTTGTCAATTTTATCGATTGTGATTTCCACAGGCGGCCGTAAGAACACGTATTGAAACGCCGGCATCCAAAACATCGTGGGATTATGCAGCATGCTAATCAGCATTAAAACGCCACCGAAGTAGTCTTTTCTGCTCAGTTCTTGCGAACCAAAGCTCACTGACGACAGAACTCTCCCTCCCCCCCACTTTCTCACGCGGGAGTGCAAGCAAACTGATGCAAAACCAGAAAGAAGGCGAAACAACCGATTTGTCTCGCTTTTCTGTGGTTTTCTTCCGTACGCGCGTGTGTGTGTGATCAAGCACAGAGCATGCCGGCGGTGGCCAAGGCGTCGGCGGCAGTGGCCTGAGAAAATCCTCCATTAGGGCGACAGCGAGAGATAGAGAGAGCGAACGAATTTGAGGAGAGACAGAGGACGGTGCAATACACCAGGCCGTTTTGTGCGTGTGCGCGTGTACTCCCACGTAAGTTGTCCTGCAGGCACAACAGCAGACTCACCTGCTCATAAATAACAAACAAACAGACCTGCTGGTAATAAAAGTAGACTCTGTGGAGGGTCGCCCAGAAGACTGCCTCTTCTACTTTCTTGTTACTATGAAAACAGGTGCGGATTGGTATCTTGGCTGCGGATGAGCTACGGATCGAAGAAAAAGTGGCGACCGACGTGGAATAGGAGGAACTGGTAGGCAATATGGATCGGGACGAGGAACGTGAAGATGAGATAATCCGGAAGACTACGAATTATGGAAACGAGTAATGTATTGATGGCGGCGATGGCGACTGTTGTGGGGGTGTTGGTGGCAAAGCCGTTACTGGTGGTGATTGGTGTTGTGGTCGTGGAGGTTGTCATGGTAGTGCTGATGCGACGATGGTGTTGGGAGGCGCCTTAATCGTCTTGATGTTGACAACGGGAAGTATAAGACAAGGAAGAAATAAGGACATGCCGATCAAACGCCCTTGCCAATAGAAAGAGAGGAGTGGAAAAGAGGATAAGGGAAGGGAAAATTGAGGTTAGAAGAGAGTGTAGAAATCCACACAAACTGAGGGTTCCTTTGACGCGCCGGAACCAGCTGAAACATGGATGACTCGCACAGCATCAAACTCAATCCCTCCTTCCAAGACCGTTTTGCTTAGGAGACGATCGGGCAACTGAAAAAGCGACTGACTTGCCGCTTGTGATCGCACACTCTTAACTCAACCCAACACACTCGAGTAATTATACCCACAGGGAAAGTTCAATGGGAAAGTATCACCACATCACAATCAGCGCTCTCAAGGAGACGGTATCCCGCCACTTGGCATCCCTTGGAATCAACGCTTAAAGGGCCCAATGATTGTTTACCTAGTGTACGAGAATTTATTACAGTGTGAAAATCGCTGCGCAGCTTGGGTTTGCTCTCTCTCTCCCCCTATCGCACCATTAGCCTCTTGTTTCAGAAACAAGGCCAGGTCCAAATGATTGGATACGAGAACGGACGAAACGGTTGACCAGACAATTCGCCCGATCGACGCCTGCTATAAGGTGTCGTCGTGCTAGAGGCAAGTCACATCTGATAGTGGCTTTGGCCTGGATCCGACGCTCCAAAGTCAGCAATGTTTTCGATCCGAAGTAGGTAGTAGGAAGAAACCCTCCTTCTGCCCCCTAGCTAGAGATAAATGGTCGTGCCTACCGAGGTATCCGTTCAACCTCGGACAGGGAGACTGACTCCCCCCTGTTAGCAACAACGTAAAAGTTTGCCGCCTCCAAAAGGAGGCGGGGGTTCGCTCACACACCCCGTGCTTTTGTCTACATGAAAGCACGCACGCATGCAACCACACACACAAACTTGGGGGGGGGGGGAGGACGAGAGATAGAGTTCTGCAGGTCCTCTGTTTTGCGCAGCAGAGACGCGTAGAGCCCAGTAGTTTGGTGGGAGAATTGTGTGTAGGTACACTCGTTCTCGCGCAGAAGGAAGCGCTGATTGCTGCTGGCGAAGTGCAGTGTGGGTGTGTGTATGTGTGTGTGTGTGTGTGTGCAGGCGTGTCTTCAGGTGTAATGGAAATCCTCTGCCCCCCCTCCCCTCCCCCCTCCTACACCAACCTCAGCCCTTCGTATCCCATCTCCTCACAGCACGAGTTCGAAGAAGCATTCTCCGAGTGCTAACTTTCCACCGATTTCATTTCACTACTCTGAAGTAACTTCATCGGGACTCAGGATCCTGCATGCTTAACTACTGGAGCAGCAAATCGGGACGAAAGGTGACAAGTGAAGTGCCTGAAACTAGTACACTCTGACCGGACACCACTGTGATGCGAAAGACCAAAAACAAGTTATGTTACAAACGCGCATATGTAGTAGCTCGTTCAGGTCGCTGTCAAATGCACCTCGCTTGAAGGACAGACCTTTGTACACCGTAGGGCCCTACAACCGCGTCAACTTTAAAATTTGTCTGCTAGATGTCTACGCAGAGGCTTCGTTTCCGAGAAATGGTACCGACAAGGACTGTAAAGACTGGTGTGGCTGACTGGGGTATTCACTGTCAGCCCCACCTCATTCTTCGTCACTGAGTACTCGGTGGTAGAGCGCATGGCTTTAGGCCTATCCACCAAAGAGCACAGGGTCTACCCACCCTATGCTCAGCGTCTGACGACGAAAAATAGGCCACAAGTGATCATTCAAGGCCAGTTTGTTCGTGCAGGTAACACTGTCCGAGCACTACTTGCTCGTTGCTGTGTAACCATTTGCGCGGCCACCGGACCGACGTTTCAGGGCAAAAATGAATCATCTGTACCGCCTTGTAAATCGGGGAGAAATCAGTGAACACCACTGTCGTGTAGTTAACGGTATATTTAAGTCACACTGGACCTTGGATGTGTTCTTGTGGACTATTATTCGTACCTCTTGGCTTCATGCAGCAATGTTAAACAAAGAGGTCCACTTGACGGAGTCCAAACATCGGAATTTAGGATCTGAATACAATTTATTTTTCTCTTTCCTTCTCAGACCACACATCCCGAAAATGTTTGGGAATGAAATCGAAAACGTTTTGGAAGTGCGTTTTTTTACTATTTTTTTAGTCCTAGCGCTTGAGTGGTGGCCGCAGGAACATTAGCAGTGTTAGGGTTGCGATCAACATTAGGACATGCGAGTAGGTGCCTCCCAGGAATTTATGGGAGCTATCTGTAGTACGCAGGTGGATCCGTATTCCTGTTGCGGGGACTTTGCCAGGCGAACTGACGACTCATAGTGATCATCCTTTCCATATACATCCGCTGACAGGGGTCTGTCCTCCATTAGGGGTGACAAAACTGTCGATGGCTATCGTTTTTCCGCTCGAAGAAAAAAGCCGGGTTCGGTATAATTTTGACGTGCTGGACTTCCCACAAAAGATAGTATCTTAGATTAAACTAAAAAGAACCAGCGACCAGTTGCAGTGAAGCATGGTCAAGTGAAAATGTAACTGTCCAAATTTCCAAAGTGTATATATGCATACATATATATATACCCGTTTGTGCGGATGTTGACAGTGGCCGCCAGGCAGAACTGCGCTAAAAACACCCGTCCACTCCAAACTTACTCCTACGAAACGCACCAGCTTAGGCTATATAGAATCGTGCATTTCACTTATAACCCATTAAAGCTCCTCAGCCTTGAAGGTGTTACCAGACGCAAAAGGAAGGCGTTTAACCAGTCATTTCTAGGGTTTACGCGAAATCTGACTGGTCAGGGGCTGACCGTGGAGAGACTTACCACCAACGTCCATTACTCGTCCGGTCCATCTTGCGATCCACTTTGTTTTGACTTGCACCGTTGTCGCCGCTGGCGTGGATATTCTCCGACGAGGTCTTACTGTTGCTGCTTACGAAACGCTTGGTTTTGGTGCGACGTCGGCCGCCGGCGCTGTCTGATAACCACTCTGAGGGCCCGAAACTTTCGCCAGCAGCGGCTGCGCTAGCACCACGGCCCCCCGACGAGCTCCCCCAGGTCCCGTGTGAGGGATAGAGGGGAGGATTGCGAGGCAGTCTACCGGACTCATTTTGGGATCCTTGGTGGGGTTGGGGAACCAGCTCGTTTGGCGGGATCCGGCCCAACACCCGCGCACAGCATGTAAAAGCGATGAGCAGGAAGAGGTTTTGATAAAATGTGCCTGCTGTCATCCTGTCCAAGACTGTTTGGTTGGGCTTTTGATGGCAACGCCATGGGACCGCAGAATTTAAATAGTCCCGGTGCAAGACGATGTGAGGCTGGGGGCAGCCGTGACCACACACCCACTCGTCCGCCAGCCAATAGGAAGGAGGGTGCTTGTGCAGAAGCTGGCAGCATGAGCATCCAATAGCAAGAGCTGCGACGAGGAGGACGACCTGTTGCGCCTAGAGAAGCTGGCGTAGGGGCGGGGGAAGGCGCATTGGCCAGCCCGCCAATCAGCTTCGCGTTGCAGCACAGTTGTGCAGTCGCAAATGCGTATGTGGGCGTCCAGCATGGGTTCCGCTTGGAGACGACAATAAAAAAAACCTTTAGCTATCCTTCTTTTTTCAATCGCAAATGACCGTCATCTTTCACGTGATCTTCATGATTATGTGATCTGTACTTTCTGGATCCATATTTTTTCCCCTTCAGAACGTTGACAATATTCAGGCAGATTTCTGAGCGACCGAATGCAGGAATGAGAGCTTTGCATCTGTTTTCATTAATATAGTGACAGGCCGCAATTCTTTCGTGAAGATAAATAGATTTGCTGAGACCCGAATTCCACTTTCCAACTACGGCAAGTCTTCAAGTGTTACTGTGCCTTCATAAGGGGAAGATTCCCTTAAATGTGGTCGTATGGACAACCTGAAGTTAATATTCGTGTTGAGCCTGTAAGAGATGCAATAACTGCATCGAACTATAGAAATAACTTGACAATTAACATATCGACAGTCGGAATGATTCCCCAAGGGAGGTCTGTTTGCGATGAAGGGAATCTTCTGAAATTAGATGGTTCTCGTCTGGGGTCACGGAGTTCATATTCACGTATATGACCTCGGACGGGAAATATATGTGCATATATATATATATATATATATAGTTGGTGGGTTATTTCATGAAATGCCATGAGTTAACCCGTCTAATCGTCCAGCACACGCGCCTCAAGAATGTAGGGCGTTTATATGAGGAACATGGAGGACCATTTCACTTGTTTAATTTTCTAAATCTGGATGTTTCCTTTAAAAACAAAGAGTGACGTATTTTCTGTGCAGCTCCCCGGATTTAATTGAGGTTAAAATTGAGTCTTGGATAACGGCAAACTCGAACCATTTATGAGGTTTCAGAAATAAGAAACAATCCCTGCACCTGTCAATTTTTGCGTTAAGCCGAAAGAAAAGCGTTGTATATGTTAGAACGACTAATGAGTCCCCTGAATCCTACCAAGCGTCGGTGATCGGACTATTGTTTTCTGACACTATGATTTTCCCCCATTTCCAATGGACCTTATTCACAGAGAAGTCTAAATGCTAGAAAGCAGAGACTATCTAATTTAATCACAAATCCTGCGTCCAAACAAAATCTTTCCCTGCAATCCTGACAGAAAAACCGCTGCGCGGCTCACACAGACTCGCCCTGCGAGTCAGGAAGAGGGTGCGGTCGCGATAGATCTGAGGCAGGGTGTCCGGCGCGAATTCGAGTGGCCGGAGGGTTCAAACCCGCCATGAAGTAAATATTCTTATTGGTTTTAATTATCATCCTCCCATAACCTGAAGCAGCAAACTGTCTGCATTTTGAACACAGTGCAGTCGGAAATTTTCTTATAGGAGGGTCAAATTTGAAAGGCAACCGTTTAATCTCTCTATCGGTTACCGTTACCTCCCGAATTGGGTAAAAAGACAGCCGACCTCTTCATCAGTCTTACTTTGGGGAATCGGGAAGTTGCAGTTTGGAAATAGGAGACGAAGTCGAAGTTTGTGTAGGGGCGTGGCATTCGTACTGTTGTCTATGTAATCAAGCACGCAGTCGTGGCACCAATGTCGGACTTAGTTGACTTTCCGTCTTGTTAACTCAGAATACGACTACTCATGTATTCCGTAAATAAACGCTTTCAAGCTGCCATGTCCACAGTTACGGACGAAAAAATGGAAGTAATTAGAAGTATGGTATCCTCTTACGCTAAAGTATACTACTAGCTGCCTATCGGCAGTGGATGAGTATTACGCGGTTACTCGCTGTGGCTGATGGGCTTCGGCCCAAATATTTATGCAGCAAATAACTAGAAGATATTCAGTCGAACTGGAACAGTCACATATGGCCCATATGCCAGCGCTCACTACTCAAACTTCAGACCTTGGAGCTCCTGAGATTGTCGATCCTAAAGCTAGAAATCATGCCTAAAATGCCGAAGACAGTTGATGCAATCGTAATGCCACTTCGAGTATTTTCTTTAGCAGCTGACTGAGCGCGACTCTGACGCTTGAATGGTAGAGTGTCTAACTCAGTGACCGACGAAATCTGGGTTCAATCCCCATGTCTTTCCGGGGAGTGATTAACTGGGAAGGATAAGTGAGCGAGAAATGGATATGACAGTTAGCTTTTATGTCCATCGGTAGTAGTTTTAACTTTTGATCATCAGTCCCCCTAAAATCGCCTGCGGATGTTCTCGCCCCCATCTCCAAAGTCATCCGGGATTGACTGTTTGTGGCATTTATAAGTGTTGGCCTCTTGAACGGATGACAATGGCATCAGTCAGAGATTCCGTTTTTTTGTGACAAAAGTGTCATCGAATTATTGAGGCTTCGCAGTGCAATGCCATGAGGTTCGTCCTTGCAGTAATCTTTGTAAATTTTGTCGTTCCACCTCGTGCCTGAGGTAAGGCCTGACCTGTTATACTACCCAAGAGATCAGCGCCTACGGCAACTTGAGATGACAGTTGGAAATCGGTGAAAATACCTTTTGGCTGATTTTGCCAGCATTATGAAATCGACCGCCCTGTGGTAGATTGACAACGATAGAGTAAAGGACCCCACTTAACTGGATCGGGTCATATGGAGTTTCATCTTGGCATCCATCTGCAGGTCGTTACAAAACACTGCGCTGCAAACAACAGTTACTCCCCATAACCTCAAACCATCACTCAAACTCTGCTACTTTTGAAAATTTGCCTTCTGTTTGCCTCCTATTTAACGAGCTCATTTCCGTTGCCATACAAAAGCGTGTGATAAGACTTTCGTCAGGGGTCCAAGCAGTTTCTGTGCTTTATTGCATTTCGCCAATTTACTTTCTGGCGTGCTACATCACCAATAAAATTCCCACGATCCATATTCCACCGACAGTTAAGTGGGGTCCTTCACCCTACCAATGTATATTCTGATCGAAACCGACAAGGCAACGGGCTCGTGGCCCAGTGGCTGGAGGCGTGGACTTCTAGCTAACAGGTCGCGAATTCGAGCCTCGGGTGTTCTACACTTCGGGGTTGGGTATGACTGACTGACGACGGCTAATAAGCCTGAAATGACCATTCCAGTCTCCCTTGTCTTTGTCGGTAATAACATACTGCCTATATCATGCGCCGCTGTGCGGCTGCTGGTTGGGTCCGAGAGAGAGAGCCCGTAAGGCACAACGGAACGAGGGAGTTCCGTAAGAACGATCGGTTGCTGGTAACTTGAAGAGACTCTTTAGATCGACAATCAGACGCTCCCACAGGTTTGTCTTTGTAAATTAAAGGTCAAATTTGAGAGATTATCTCCCTGTAGGTTAAGCAAGTGATATAAGCTGTTGTTAGATCCTCTTGTATGTCTTCGTGTTTCGGGGTGTTTTTCTGTGTCGTGTGACAAATTTTTTTGAGGGGTTCTGTAGGGCCGGTTGAGACTTCACGCTTCTTTCACGCAAAGCGACTGGGGAAGACAGGACAGTGATGATAACATTATTCCGGTGAGGATAACGCTTTGGTATGGATCGCGAAGGTTCATTCTGGAAAACGTTGTGCACCGATCTGTCCTGCCTGAAGGACGGAAGTGGGTATTTCTGTTTCACCCGACTAACGCTGGTGGTTGCAGGATGACCGGAAGCCAATGCTGCAAACCTTTTGCTAATAAAGAGGGGTGTTACTGAAATGGTCGTTTCTGGCCTAGAATTCCTCATACCCGAAGCCCAGGTTTCACATCTTAAATTCGAACTTGAAACAACCGATCTTTAGAAAACGCTCTAACTGCCGCAATATGGATTCATTCCATATCGGCTAAGATCTCGATGAGATCGGTTGACTGGGCTGTAACACACAGCTCCAAGACAAAACAGAAATGCTCGTCTTCTTCTTGGAATCAAGATAGATTGGTTTATGCCCTAGCTCAGCCGGCGCGAAGCGACCCGGTAGTACAGTAGTGAGGACGTTGCTTGATGATCAAATGACTCAGTTGACTGCAAATATCGCCTTAGTCACCACAGGCATCGCTACTCTGTTAACGTTATTCATCCTCACCGCAGGTGCGTGTTCGACCATCCGCGTACAGAGTAGTCTTTCCGCTCCTCTGTGGCCGGCTGCAACATTACGCAGGCACCAGAGGCATTCGTCCGCCTGACACTTCTAGGTCCTGTGTTGCTGCAATCTTCTCTAACCACCCCCTGAGACCGAAGACCTCTGTCTGGTTTTCGGTTAATCTGCTTCAAGGTCAAGCCGACGTGCCCTAATCAAGGCGCTCTGACGCCTGCCTCTGTGGCACTTGAATGCCTGCTCCGGCGGCGTCGGCTGTGCGCCTCCCGTCCGGCTTCCATCCGGCTTCAACCTATTCCACGCTCATTCTGTATATCTACACAGGCGACTGGTTGAGCCGTCCTACCTGTAGTACATCGCCATATCGACGACCAGTAATACCACTTTTGGCATGAAAACTGACGTGTGGAGAGGCAGAAGTTCAGAAACTACTTATTATCTCTCTCTCCCTTTCTTTTTCTCTCTCTCAGGTTCCAACTCCGCGGGTTCCAACCTGGGTTTGAAGTATGGCTGGCCAGTAATGACGGGAAATAACTCAAAGACAATCGTTCTGGCGTCTCTGTCGGTAAAAGCATTCATCTAGGTTAATTCATTCTTTTAGTAGCGGCATTGAATAACGAACGCACCTGCAAGCGTGCACCCCCACTTGATTTTCGGGTAGTTTTTCTAGGTGTCAGTTGGCCAGACCTTTTCCTTTGTCCCCTCGACAGGACACTACGCGGAATCCTTGCCGCGCCCGCTAAATCGCGTGAGGCATTTCTGATTTTCCTGTCTTCGAGCCTGAACTGCGCAGACCAATTTTACGCCAAAAAATCGTCTACAAATTACCACTTGCCTCCGTCGCATACTGCCGCGGCCGGCCATCAACGAGTACCGATAGGTCGGAAATGAAATCCTTCCACATCCATCTTCGAACACCTGAAATCTCCAAAAATGCAGCTTAAGAATATCTTTTTGTCATTTTGTGAGGAAGAAACTCGAGGTCCAGACGAACATAGTGGCATTTAGCACGCCAAAAT